TAGACCTTACTAGTGTATCATACATACTTTACTAGATCTTTCTAAGTTTTCTTAGACTTTTAGAGTACTAATGCAATATAGTTATCAAATATACTTCATATGGTACACTATTTTAATATATTATATCTTTACTTTTGCTGTACACACTATTATCCCAGGAATTGATCTTGCCATGATTGCAGTGGCCCATTTGACTAAGTTTCAATGTAGTTACTTTGTACTTTGTTCTTTAGTCAAATCATCGACTTAGTCTCCAGACTCTCCATCTGAATCTCCAAGCTTATCTTTGAGTTCTCTCCGAATCAGACCTGTCTTGAGACTTAACTATGCAAGTACTGATTAACTTAGTACTTTGCATATATCTACATGTTCTCTGACATCTTTGAGTACCTTGGTACTTCAGAGACTTCAATTCCTTTGACTCCTTTCATGCGAGACATGGTCAACTCAAATAGGGTCCTAAACTTGAGCAGGGTACAGCACATGAGCTGAGGTCATAGCCCACCATGACAAGAGAGTCTGTATCCTCTAAGATCCTATCAAGATCTCCAAGACTCTTGAAAGATACATACTTAACAATATGACTGCAGACTAACTTAAACTTTGTAAATTCAAAAAGGATCTATGTACTTATTTGATAGTTTCTAGGAAGGTCAATTGATTTGAAAGAATTTTGTGAAAATGTGAACTCTATCACCCTTAATATCAGAAGGTTTCATGCCTTAAGTATCTGTATCTGCTGTGTTAAATATATGTATGATGGAAGCATATCTCTGAGTTGCTGCTTGCCAGTAATAAGGTTATTAGCTACTACTGTGGTTAGTTGCTTGAGATCATTAGAGGTGACCACACCACTTATGAGATCATTAGTGACTCTTACTTGATAGGCTTATATTTCATTTTATTTTGTATAATCTTATTATTTCTCAATAGCAATTAGCCACCTTTTTGTATTGAATACCTCTATACAATGATTAAGAATATAATGCCTTTTACCTTCTCAAGTCAAGCTCTTGTGAATATAATAGATTATGGGCCATTTCTTAACCTTACTTGATTAGATGAAAGTGTTAAATATATAGATTTAGAGTTTCTATAAAAATATCAAATAGTGACTACATTTAAATAAGATAGTGATATCAATTTGTAGAAAACTACATGTCATTTATATAAGTATTAATTAAGTGTCTATATTTAATAAAATTTTAATATGGAATTAAATGCTTAAATTTCATTATAAAAGGTTTGATACAAACATACTTATTAGAAACTGTGTACACTTCAACTGAGATAAGAAATAATGAGAGTAAGCAAGTATTATTAGTAAAAATCAAAAATGTAATATGTTGAAATAGTTATATAATATAATTTCTCAAATTTATACTAAATTACTATCATAAAAAGTTGATAGGTTTTCAAAAGATCTAGCAAAATGTTATATATTGATAATCTTCATTCTTTGAAGTAAATTTTATAATGGTCTGTATTTTATGATATGAATTTATTCATAATGATTATGAGAACATAACTTGTAAAGTAGTTAGTAACATATTCTTCGAAAAATATAGAGACTCTTTTTGATAAATCAATATCAAGTTATGATTCCTGAGGTATAAAGAGAATTATCTATCTAAGTGTTGATGAAAAAGTGAGGAATCTGTTAACATTTTGATTCCCCTTATCTTATTTTGCTACAAAGAGATATTCAAAGAATCAGTCTATACAGCTTCAAATAAAGGTAATATTTCTAGATACTAGTACGAAGTGTGTCTCTTGTCTAAATTAATTTAAAATAAACATTAGCCTTAATTCTTTATCATTCTTTATATTTTTTATAATAAAAGATATTAAATTAAACTTATAACAAAGAAATCAGCTATGTAGAATAATATACATGAAAGCCTTTCATTTTATTTATGGAGATATTTTACTAAATGTTTAAATCCGGTTTAATGATGAAAAAACAGAAGGTAGAAAATCTAAATATGATAGCATAATAATTAGTTTATAATGTAATGAGTTCTTGAAAATCAGAGAAGATATTTCCATGCATTGCTTTATACTGTAAAGTAAATAGTGAAAAGTATAATACTATATTGTTATACTTAAAAATAGATATATTTTGTAGTAATCATATATATATTAGATTATAGATAGTTTGTATACATATATAATATTCATATAAGATATATATAAGTATAAATATAAAAGGTGTGCTATTAGTTGACTTGCAAGAAAGATAGATTAGAAATTGTCATTGCCATGCTTGCATTGGCCTATTAAATTAGATCAACTGTAAGTCTTTCAACTTATGTGTTCATTGGTTTAACCGCTTTACCTGCTTAGATTCTGGTAAAGTCTTTATTGTAGATGTCGATTCAGGCTTTATCAATTCGAGTGGAGAACATGTTGTTGGGCTAATAATCGGAGGTAAGCTTAATAAGTTCTCTCTCTGTGTCAGAAAACTGATGTCAATGATTGTCTTGGTGTCATTGTCAAATATAACATTGCACTTGATTGAAATAGTATGACAATCAGGTCAGTAAATCTGATGACCTATACTCTCAGAGTCAAACTCAACCCCAGCACCCTTTCTTCAACTTAGCATCCAGTTTGAAGCTTGCATCTTGGTGTATCCATGAAATAGCTCTGAAGTGAGGAAGGTTTGACATGCACAATTTCTCGCCTGTTGCCTGTTCATGAGGAGTCTTGTCAGGTGAATCACATGTAGTAGTCTGATTTCAAAGCCAAATGATATAACTGAAAGCTTTAGCTCAGAGATTCTTTGGGAGGCCACTTGTTAGTAACAGTGCTTGAGTGCATTCAACAAGCATTCTGTTGAGATGTTTGACATAAACGAGGGTTCCATACACAGACGCAGCAGTGTCAAGAACTTCGGCAGCGGCCTTACGAAAACACCATTCAGTAAGTGCGGCCTCCCGTGTTACCGTGACGTCTGTTGCTTCTGTATTGGAGGCGGATAGTGTATTTGAGGAATGGGAGTTTTTGTTGGTGTTGGGATTGTTGTAAAGTCATACATTGCTCTCATTGAAGACGAGAGCATTAAAGAGATATGGTACCAATCTTGGGAGGAACCGAAGGATATCAGCATGAAGGCCTCTCCTGATGAACTCCTTCTCATTTTGTTGCAGCAAGTTATGCATGGTGAGTCTCCTGATTGTATTGTTATCTTTATAGCGAACAGTGCATTCATCACTCATGTACTCTCCTTCTTGATCAGACTGTAGCTCTTTTATTCTTACTGTCCCTCATTGCACTTTGATTTAAACCAGGTAACATCCATGCTCTTTGTAGGCCTCACTTTTTCAAGCGATAGAAATGACAACTACCACATTTGTGTGATTATTGAGAAAGATCATGATAGACTCTTTTTCTCTAAGAGATTTTGTTGACACCTTCTTCTATAGATGACACTGAGTTCAATTCCCGATGGTGCCATCTATATTTTATTTTATTTTATAATTATTTTTGTATACTAAAATAAACTATAATGTTGCTTATCATTGATTTGAATACTATTAATTTATATTGTGATGTTTTTTAATAGAGATCAATATAATATTGAAATTAATCAATGAAAGATATTAGAGGAAAATTGCAGTTATTTGTAGACAATTCTCCTTCAATTGGTACTAATTATTTTCTCTAAATTAGAGAAATACACTCCAAAATTAGGAAAGTCTAGAATATTGGATCTTTTGGAAGAAAACCAAGACAAAAATACTAATTATATCTCATCATATCTAAATTATTTACAATTGAAAAGATTAACAAAATAAGGGTTTTCCTGATAACTTGTTTTAAGAATGACATGCGAGTTTGTTTTGCATGAGCACGTGTCTCACAGAAGGAAACTGAAATCATGATAAGTTTTCATCTGTTGATAACTCCTATTTGAATAGCATATGGATCTGCATGATCCATGCGGCGGTGTGCCTTCTCCAATGTGATTGAGGTGCCCAATGCAACCATTGCTAAGGATTCTGATAGGATAGTGCTAGTGCATTTGTCATAAACAAGGTAGAGACCTTTTTGTTCAACGATTGTGATGACGATCTTGCAGTCTGAGGTCAAAATATGGCATTCATTTTGTTTAAAGTGGATGGAGAATTTGTTTTTAATCATTTAAAATAATGAAATAAGTGCTATGAGCATTGAAGATGCATACAGTGCATTCTATAAGATGAGTTAGTATTTCTTTCTTTGAGCATACACAGTAATGTGGCATTATCCTCTTCCATAGCATTGAAAGTTCGCCCATTGGCAGACCGAATTGATCTTGATGTGATATCTCAAAAGATTTTGAAGGTCTTCCAATACAGAACAAAGTATCAACTGGTGTCTGAATTGAGTAGATGCATATTTGTATCAGTAGAAAGATCCCTTTGAGCAACAAAGGGGAAGTCCATATCTACAGTCATGATGTGAAAAACAAACTCGGCCTTGAAGTAACTGGAGTCCTCATCTATGACAGCCTTGGCCACAAACTCTTTCTCCCACTCCCTTCACTTTGGACTCTGTCCCTCCTTTCCTCTGTCTTTGCCCCGATAGTTCTCCCTCATATGTTCTCCCTTCTTGCAATTGGAACATCTCTTGTTTGACCTTGACATGGGTTTCACAGCCAGTGCTAAGTTGGTTTTATTGGCCATGGCATGTTTGTGATCAGTAGTGGTTTCATCCTAGGTTATGTTTTGGACCATACTGACAACAATCTTGGCAGTAAGAGAAATATTGTATTGTTGATTTATAAAATCATAACACAAAGAGCTTTTTGATAGGATATCAGTAGGCAACCCAAAATGTGGGAATGGTATTGAGCATCAGAAATATCTCCACCAGCAGTGGTATATTTCTTATCAAAAGATTGGAGTTTATCAAGGATGAAACAGGGGTCTGTATTTTTGGCAAAGTGAAGCTTGTGTATTTGCATAAGAATGTCCATTTGAACAAAGTGTTAAAGTCATGCAGAATGAAAAGAGTGACCTGATCGGGATTTGAACCCAGGACCTCCAGTTTATATAGCCAGTGCTTTAACCACTAAGCCATCAGGCCTTAGCTGCTGTACAGACTAAGGCTGCCCAGTCTTACAAGCTCATCACCTGATCGGCTCATGACCTGGTTCAGTGTGAGTCTGCTAGTACAACTTCTGTGACATGTGACTAAGCAAGTCCAACACAAGGTCTCTTTAATTGTCATATTCATTTATACAATTCTTAGCACTGCTTCACCGTGGTGAGGCATGCAATATGTAATTTGAGAACTTCAGAAAGCATCTGAAATAATATTGTTTTGATTGCAGCATGTTCGACATCATATGCATCCTTGGCTTTCCAGTATATGTTCTTGGTGTTTGGATCAGAAGTGGTTGATAGATCAGCAGTCTTGTCAGTGTTGTCCGATTCTCAAAGGTTTTCAGAGGAGGGATAGGTTCTTTAACACGGCTGACAAGGTAGCACTTTAGCCCTTCTGCAATGACGACAGCTACAAATTAAGACTTGTATAGAATTCAGTTTGAGCTGTCTTCCTTGAGCTTCGGAAGCTTCAAGGATTTGTTTGCAGAGCTGATGCTGAAACCTTTATATTGGCTGGCAGGGCCCATAACCTGTAGAAGCTGAAAAGTAGTCTGAATAACAAGAGATACTTTAGTATAAGGGAAAATCAAAAAGTAATCTACATGTGCTGTACCTAAATAATGAGAATAGAAGTTTAAGGTACAATAAGCTACAAAACTTGAAGGAGAAAGTTAAAAGAAATGTACAATACTTTATTCAGTATAAGGAAAACTAAAATATCGAACTACTCTACAAGGGATCTATATAACATACAGGACAAGAAATGTCACTTGTGTTAATGACAAATGAACAAAGGTTGACAGTGATGTACAATAATAAAGTAGAGAATAAATTCACTGGAGTCAACACAGTCAATAATCAAAGGTTACACAAAGGATTAAAAGTAGACACATGAAACAGGAATACTTGCTCTCTCAACAAACCCCTTCATTCTCATACAGGATATACGCTGTAGGTACATCCTACATGGCCACCTAAGGAAAAACTGTTAAAATCATGCAGAACAAAAAGAGTGACCTAACCAGGATTCAAACTCAGGATCTCCAGCTTATATAGCCAGCACTTTAATCATTAAATCATCAGGCCTTAGCTGTTGTACAAACTAAGACTGCCCAGTCTTACAAGCTCATTACCTGATCAGCTTATGATCTGATTTAGTATGAGTCCGCTGATGCAACTTCTGTGATATGTAACTAAGCAAGTTCAACAAGAATAGCTTGTACTGCACTGACAATTTGACCTGAACCCCTTTTTCACATTGAGCAAATTTGTAGGACTTCCAACTGAGACTGTTGCTTGCCAAAACATGGCATTCATAGGTACTGGCAGTATTGGAATCAGATAGGTGTTTCTATGGCCAAAAGGCACTCAATGACAAACTATCACACACCAGACATTGTCACGTGAATGCGTTGTGTCACAGATGGCCAAGGAAGAACTTGAAACTTTTTCAAAACATTCCAAGTTTCCTCTTGAAATCTGCTTTGAAACCTGCAGCAGCGAACAATCAATGTTGATAAGTAGAGTTCACTGTCTGATTTTTACAGCACAAATTTGAATCAACCTTTGTTTTTGCAGTTGTTCTTACCTTGACTACACGCACATTGGCCAGAGTCGCACCCTAAGTGTCAGTCGTAAGTACATATGGGGTTAACTTGTGATAGTCGTCCTTACACTAACATATGTGACTCACAGCGACATTTTTAAAAAAGAAAGGCAAGGATATAAGTAAGAAAAATACTAGTGCTGCATAAGTTTTTCCAGAAAAGGTAAGATAAGTTTAATGCACTTTATTAGGCAGAAGTATAGGAGAAAGACTAACCTGATGCAGCAGGCTCCGGAAATGGCTAATATCTCTCATGAACCTTCCTTTAATTTGAAATGGAAGTTGCTTCACATTCAATTGGAGCAAAGGAAAAAAACATCAAATGAAGCAATTTCTCTGCTACTTCAATTATTCTGAAGGGAGCTGCTGTGTCAAGTGAATCAAGACTGACAGTGCATCACTCCACTCATTCAGACTGATCTCACAATCAAAGAATACTATACTCATCTTATCTTGTCTCTAATTAACATTAATGTTACCAAGAGCTTTGTCAATAACTGCCTGAAGAAGACACAAAGTCATGAAGTGCTGGTTAAAATGTTGCACAAAAAGTATCTGACTCTGATTGAGAACTTGGAGATTATTGGAACAAAATGCAAGACATGAATTTTCGTATCTAATCCCTACTATCCTATCACTGGAGGGAAGCATGCATTGTTACTTCAGCGATCAATGTGGCCATTATCAAAGCCTTCATGAAATATGAAGCCACTCTAGAGAAGATCGCACTCCATAAGATGGATCAATATTGAATGATGGGAGATTGGTCAACCTCAAGACACTTTGACATCTGGAAATGGTTGCCTAGAGAAGCGCAATCTACAAAGAACTGTTGTCCTGCCTGCCACGAAGTGCAAGAAGCCCTGAATGATGTTCTTTGGCTGTTTAAAACTCATGTGTTGTTTAAGTTCAATCTGCCCGGAAAGAGCCTATCGTCATTGGGCTCGTGGACTCGTAGCAATGAGGAGTGGAAGACATTATGGATACCACGACGCTTGAGCTGTGCAGGCAAGTCAATGCGAAAGGAGTTGTTACCGAGATCCTGTAGAATCCTGTAAGGCCCAATATACTTTGGAATCAATTTTTGAGCTAGTCCCTTAGGTAGGGATAGGTTCTTTGTTGAGATATAAACCAAGTCATCCTGGCTGAATGGAGCAGGTTGTCGCTTTCGATTAGCATCACAGGTTTGTTTTACGCGAGCAGCAATGATACTATCATGTGCACTCATGATTGCGTATTTGACTTTCTGAGCATATGCTCTAACGGCGGGATATTCTTCCAGTCCAGGGTTGTTCCAAATCATGGAATGTGGCATGCGACCTGTGTTGACGAAGAAAGGTGCATACCCTGTGGACTCTGAGCGGGCGCTGTTGATAGCGAACTCAATACCCGGGAGTTTAGCCACCCAATCCTTTTGAGTGGGTCCAACACATTGACGTAACATCTGCGTCACCGTTCGGTTCATGCATTCAGTAGAGCCATCTGACTCGGGATGGTAGGCACTCGACATACGAAGTTCCGTACCAATCAATCGATGAAAATAAGTCCAAAAATTACTTGTGAAAATCACGTCCCGGTCACTGACAATCCATCGAGGAATGCCATGAAGCTTGTAAACTTCGCTGAAAATCAGCTCCGCTATCTCTTTCGCAGTGTACATAGTACGACTGGCAATGAGATGAACCATTCCACTTAACAAGTCAATGATCACAGTAATACTATCATAAGTTCCGTCACGGTCTTTTGATTCAGGTAGAGGACCAACAAAATCAATCCCGATAGCTTCCCAAGGTACCGAAGGCACCTTGAGAGGATTTAACACATCAGGAAAAACCTCATTTTCCAAATCTTGCCAATTGTAGATAATTTAGATATGATGAGCTATAATTGGCATTTTTGTCTCAGTTTTCTCCAAAAAGCTCCAATTATCCAGACTATCCTTATTCTGGACTTTATTTCTCTAATTTAGCAGAAACTTTTATCTCTAAATTAGAGAGAATTGTCTACAAATAACTGCAATTTTCCTCTAACACTTTCTATTCATTAATTTCAACGTATCATGGACTTCTATTACAAGACATCACAATATG